CCTCCCCAGATGATCTCAAGCTCCGAGGCGGGACGTAGCGGGAGATGCGTTCGGACAGATACAGTGGACCGGAACCGTACAGGGTTTTATAGGTCAAGACCAGCACCTTGAATTGTGCTCGGAACTGAACCGGCAGCCAGTGGAGCTGGCATAACAGGGGGGTGGTATGCTCCCTGTATGTCGCCCCGGTGAGCAATCTGGCTGCCGCTCGTTGGACTAGTTGAAGCTTCTGGGCAGTCTTCAGAGGCAACCCAACGTAGAGAGCGTTGCAGTAGTCTATACGGGATGTAACCAGAGTGTGGACCACCGTGGCCAAGTCAGACTTCCCAAGGTACGGGCGCAGCTGGTGCACAAGTTTTAATTGTGCAAAAGCTCTCCCGGCCACCGCCGAGACCTGGGGTTCCAGGCTCAGCGGTGAATCCAGGATCACTCCCAAGCTGCGAACCTGCGACTTCAGGGGGAGTGTAACCCCGTCCAGTACAGGCTGTAACCCTATACCCTGTTCGGCCTTACGACTGACCAGTAGGACCTCTGTCTTGTCTGGATTTAATTTCAATTTGTTAGCTCTCATCCAGTCCGACACAGCAGCTAGACACCGGTTCAAGGTCTGGACAGCCTCCTTGGTGACAGGAGGAAAGGAGTGACAGATCTGGACATCATCTGCATAGAGATAACATCGCAGCCCGAAACTCCGAATGATCTCTCCCAACGGCTTCATGTAGATGTTAAACAACATCGGGGACAGAATTGATCCCTGAGGGACTCCACATGACAATGGCTGTGGGGCCGAACAGGTGTCACCCAATAACACCTTCTGGGACCGACCCTCCAGAAAGGACTGGAGCCACTGCAAAGCAGTACCCCCAAGTCCCATATCTGCGAGGCGTCCCAGAAGGATACCGTGATCGACGGTATCGAAGGCCTGAGAGGTCCAGCAGAACTAACAGGGACACACTCCCCCTGTCCAGCTCCCTGCGAAGATCATCTACCAAGGCGACCAAGGCTGTCTCAGTTCCATGTCCCGGCCTAAAGCCAGACTGTGCTGGATCTAGATAATCAGTGTCTACCAGAAACCCCTGGAGTTGTGTTGCCACCACACGTTCCATGACTTTGCCCTAATAGGGAAGATTGGAAACTGGCCGATAGTTGACGAATTGAGTGGGGTCCAGTGATGGTTTCTTCAACAGCGGTTTTATAACAGCTTGCTTTAAGCTGGCTGGAATTTTGCCCTCCCGAAGGGAGGCATTAACCACCACCTTCACCCACTCTGCCAAACCCCTCTGGCTTCCTTTATCAGCCAGGATGGGCAGGGGTCTAGGATGCATGTGGTGGGTCGCACCTCTCCAAGGATCCTGTCCACATCCTCAAGCTGAACCAATTGAAATGAATCCAATAAAACCTGACAAGCAGATGCTCTCGTTACATCCTCAGAGACTGCAGATAAAGTGGTGTCGAAATCCGACCGGATCCGCCCAATTTTATCTGCGAAAAATCGAGCAAACGCTTCACAGCGAGCTCCCGAGCTGTCAGGGATCTCGCTTTTCGGCGGATTTAACAAACCCCTGACAACTCGAAAGAGCTCAGCTGGACGATTCTTCGCAGATGCAATATTGGCGGCAAAGGATGTTTTTTGTGCTGCCTCTATTGCCACACCGTAGGACCTTAGAAAGGCATTAAGATGTGTTTGGGCAGATGTGGTGGGGTATAAATAAAGGTTTTATTATTATTATTATTATTATTATTATTATTATTATGATCAAGGGTCTGGAGAACAAGCCCTATGAGGAGTGGCTTAAAGAGCTGGGCATATTTAGCCTGAAGAAGAGAGGCTGAGAGGAGACATGATAGCCATGTATAAATATGTGAGAGGAAGCCACAGGGAGGAGGGAGCAAGCTTGTTTTCTGCTGGAGACTAGGACGCGAAACAATGGCTTCAAACTACAAGAGAGGAGATTCCATCTGAACATGAGGAAGAACGTCCTGAGTGTGAGAGCCGTTCAGCAGTGGAACTCTCTGCCCTGGAGTGTGGTGGAGGCTCCTTCTTTGGAAGCTTTTAAACAGAGGCTGGATGGCCATCTGTCAGGGGTGATTTGAATGCAATATTCCTGCTTCTTGGCAGGGGGTTGGACTGGATGGCCCATGAGGTCTCTTCCAACTCTTTATTCTATGATTCTATGATTCTATGATTCTATGATGATGATGATGATTATTATTATAGAGCATCGCTGTTAGAGCATAGCAGCATTACAGCATATTGCTTCTCTTCCTCAGAGTAGCGTATTGTTTCTCCAAACTATATTCTAAAATCCATACAGTTATACCCCACCAGGTGTGGCCCAAACATGCAAGCTGACTTACATTACCAGCTGTACAAAATAATTAACATAATACGGTTTTTCTTTAACACACACTTGATCCTGCTACTACTTACTGTAACAAATGTGAGTAGATCAATAGGTACCACCTTAGCAGAAGGTAAATGGCGTTCCATGCAGTCATGCTGGCCACATCACGTAGGAGGTGACTATGGACAACGCCAGCTTTTTCACTTAGAAATTGAGATGATCACCACTCCCCAGAGTTGGACTCGAGTAGACTTAATGTCAAGCGGAAACCTTTACCTTTACTTAAACTTGAATCAGACAGCTTATTATCCTTCTAGGAGTCTTCTCAAATACTGGGGAAAAAACAACAATTTTTAAATATTTGCTAATATTATTTACATCTTTACTGAATGGTAAAATGTTTGCTGTGGCTTGGGAATCTCTATTTCTGGCTTTACTTTGTTGTAAACAAAGCCATTTTCCATTTTCTCTGACTTCTTTCCTCATGTAATATGAGAACAGATAAATAAGTTCCTGCAGGTCAGATTGGAAGGAAATGACAATAATGAAGGGAATCCAGCAATATCTGCAATATATATATAGCCCCATTTTAAAGGGGGAATGAATATGGCTTCACACAGGCTCACTTATAGAAAACTTACAGGGGTTTTTTTTGTGTGTATCTTGACCCTAGAAAAATTTAGCCAGAAGAATAAAATACAACCATAAATGTTTTTTGATATATATCATTCCCTATGATGCCACAAGACTGTGCATGAATGAATGTATATGATCAACTGATGCCTAGCCTATAGTCAAAACTTCTACTGATTTTGGATATTGGAAGGAATTAACCATGACAAACTATATTAGAGTGCAGGAGCTCATAGCTCAAGGCTTCTATTTTGGCAGGATGTAGGACAGAAATGCCTGTCTTTCAATGAGATTGGATCCTCAGTATACCACAGTAAGGGTAAAAGTTTTTCATGACATTAAGTCTAGTTATGTCCCACTCTGAGGTGCTGCTCATCTCCATTTCTAAGCCAAAGAGCCAGCATTGTCCGTAGATGCCTCCAAGGTCAGGTGCCCAGCATGACTGCATGGAGCGCTGTTACCTTCCCACTGGAGTGGTACCTATTGATCTATTCACATTTGCATGTTTTCGAACTGCTAGATTGGCAGAAGCTGGGGCTAACAGCTCACTCCACTCCCCAGATTTAAATCGCCAACCTTTGAGTCGGCAAGTTCAACAGCTCAGTGGTTTAAGAGAGGGGGGGGCAGGGGACATTTCCATCTTGTCTTCTGCATATGTCATGAGTTGGGGACCCCTCCCCCCAGCACCAACTGCTGCTCTGGGCCAGAGTGAAGAGAGAGGGGGCCATGGGATCTGTCTTGTCTCTTGCATATGTCATGAGTTGGGGACCCTCCCCTCAGCACCAACTGCTTCTCTGGGCATAGTGGGGAGAGAGGGGGCCAGGGGACAGTTCCATCTTGTCTCTTGCATATGTCATGAGTTGGGGACCCCTCCCCTCAGCACCAACTGCTGCTCTGGGCCATAGTGGGGAGAGAGGGGGCCAGGGGACAGTTCCATCTTGTCTCTTGCATATGTCATGAGTTGGGGACCCCTCCCCTCAGCACCAACTGCTGCTCTGAGCCGGAGTGGGCAGAGAGGGGGCCAGGGGACAGTTCCATCTTGTCTCTTGCATATGTCATTAGTTGGGGACCCCTCCCCTCAGCACCAACTTCTGCTCTGGGCCGTAGTGGGGAGAGAGGGAACCAGGGCACAGTTCCACCTTGTCTCCTGTGCTATGTTAATAATATAATATAATACAATATAATACAATACAATATAATGTAATGTAATATATTGTAATACAATATAATACTACTACTAATAATATGATATTATAATTATATATTTATATTACATGAAATATTACTAATAATATTACAATATAATGGTATAATACAATATAGTAATAATACTGATCTTGTACTATGCTAATAATATAATATATTCTAGGTATATATATCTTGTAAGCTGATCTGAGAAGGGCGGCATATAAATGTCGTAAATAAATAAATTAAATTAAATAACCCGCTGCACCACTGGGGGGGGGGATGCAGCGGGTTATTTATGATATACCATACTTGGTTCTATAATTTCTTCCACAGTTAATTGAGAAGAAAATTCCCCTTCGCTTTTCCTCCAAAATGACTCATGGCAGTTTGATACGTTCTTCTATTTGCTCTGTTTTCACATTCCTTCAGGATCTTTACCTTCTCTTTCTTTGGATCTCTTAACACTCAAGTGAATCTTTAAGTAACCACAATGCTAAAAATTTAGAGACTAAAGGAAAAATTCATTGGGTGGAGAAAAAAATTGTATTTGAAATAATAGAAATGATGTAAATAAATTATTTGAAAGGACAATAAATATCTTCATTCACCTCTGCACCAGTGTAAGTAATTGTTTGCAATGCATACAAGATTTTGCAGTAATCCACCGACACACTTATACAATAGAAGATATGAAATGGAAGATTGTGTGGAAAATTGCTTCATCTGTTCCATGAAAGAAAGAGGAGTAGCAGGGAATCTATATGGGTGGCTCTCAAAAATTAAATATACTATTATAATCATTTGGTTATTTGTTGCAAGGAAAAATAGAAATACCTTGAGTGGATTCGTCAACAGCTTTTCTTTTTCTGTTGTGGCTGTTGTAATTCAGTCTGAGTTCCTGGCCATATTCATTAAGAGTTTCTCTGGATTCGTAGGATTGTCTTGCCTTTCTCCCATCTTCACTTTCATCAGAAGAGCTCGTATAAGCTAAGTCCATTTCATGCTTGGCCTTGGATAACGGCTGGTAGGGTTTGCAGTCCATCTGCTCCATCTCTGAGTGAGTCGGACCAGAGTCATGAAAACAATGAGTGGAGGCTCCTTACAGAAATGGTCCTGAAAGAGACAAAAGACAAAATTGTAGCTCTTCATTCAAGGCATTTTTTTAAAAAAAAAACTGGATATAAAAGTTGCATTTAGTCAAGGGAAACATAAATGTTCTCATTACGATCCCTTGTGTTGAAATATTTTAGCCAGTTAATTGTTACAGGAAATTAAATAAATACTACAATTATAGGAAAGTATTCCCTTTGCTCCTTTAAATTATAGCAAGTGTAGATTAACATAACAGTTTACCTGAATATATAATAGTCTATCATTTTTCCAAATGTTGGGGTCAGTCTAAACTCATCTCTCTCGTCTGTTCTTTTTTTCATACATCAGCTTAACCTGAATACACTTTTTTTTCAGACAAATTATCCTATTGCATCCAAACTAGGGGATCTTTTCCTAACGCCTGACAAAAAACCCCACCAAAATAAGCCAAGGTAGGATGACCATCTAATGCAGTTGTTCCCAACTTGTGGTCCATGGACCACCAGTGGTCTTCAAGAAATAATATATGGTCCATAGTCTCACCATCACTACATTGTTGCAACGAGAGTGACTGGTCTCATGAAACCCTCTTAAAGAACTGAGGTAATGGGGATGTCAGGAGGGGAAAGAATGAGTACCCACAAAAGGCATGACAACAAACCTCCTGACTGCTGCTTCTCCTCCTCCCCCTGAGTGGAGCCGTTCCATGTGGCACCTGGAAGCAGGAGCACCTTGGTGTCTTTTTAAAAATTATTATTTATAATTTAAAACATTTATATTCTGCAGGAGTCTACCATGTACCATGCAGCTGTGGACAAGTCTACATAGGGACCACCAAACGCATTGCCCAAACACGAATCAAGGAACATGAAAGGCACTGCAGACTACTTCAACCAGAGAAATCAGCCAGAGCAGAGCACCTGATGAACCAACCTGGACACAGCATGTTATTTGAGAACACAGAAATGCTGGACCACTCTCACAACCACCATGTCAGACTACACAGAGAAGCCATTGAAATCCACAAGCATGTGGACAATTTCAACAGAAAGGAGGAAACCATGAAAATGAACAAAATCTGGCTACCAGTATTAAAAAACTCTAAAATGACAACAGCACAACAACAGAGAGGAAACAAACAAGGACATCTAATCACCTCTCAACAAAAGTTTGCTCCAGGCACTGCCAGGCCATCAAATGCTAATCAAGGTGGTCAGTTGAAACATTCACACCTAGCTCCAGCAGACAAGAGTCCTTTGTCCCACCCTGGTCATTCCACAGATATATAAACCCATTTTCCTAGTTCCAACAGACCTCACTACCTCTGAGGATGCTTGCCATAGATGCAGGAAACGTCAGGAGAGAATGCCTCTAGACCATGGCCATATAGCCCCAAAAACCTACAACAACCCATTTATATTCTGCCCTTCTCACTCCGCAGGGGGCTCAGGGCGGAGCACAACATATATACGGCAAACATTCAATGCCGGAATATAAAACCATAAATTATATATACAAACATTAAAATCACATATTCACATTAAAAGTTGTTTAAAAACCATCTCAGGACACCATTTTGCCTCATTGCACTGCCCCAAAGGCTTGGTCCCACAGCCAGGTCTTCACCATCCTTCTGAAGGACAGGAGGGAGGGGGCTGATCTAATATTGCTAGGAAGGGAGTTCCATAACCAGGGGGCAATCACTAAGAAGGCCCTATCTCTCATCCCCGCCAAACATGCCTGTGATGGTGGCAGGACCGAGAGCAGGGCCTCCCCAGAAGGTCTTAGTTTCTGCAGTGGTTCATAAAGGTAGATGTGTTCAGACAAGTAAACTGGGCCGGGGCTTGTTTAGGGTTTTAGGCCTGTTCTTAGGCTTATTTGTGGTGCTGATTCAGAAATTTGCATTTGATAGACCACATCAGCTCTACATTAGTAAGTATGGTTTTCGGTGAGCAGCAGATGGTGATTACTAGATGGTATATGTTCTGTACCAGAAACTAGAGCTAATGTGGTCTATCAGATGCAGTTTTCTGAATCAGCATCCCAAATAATCAAACTGACTCTAAAGTTGACCAAAAACTGAATCCTAACCCTTTTGGAGAGTGGTCCCTGGTCTAAGTGGCCCCTGGTCAAGTGGTCCCTGGTCAAAAAAAGGTTGGGAACCACTGATCTAATGGAAACTATGCAAATGTTTCAAATTATGTTTTGAAGGATTAGGCCTTTTCTGACATAAGACCCCATTTGCTCAACACTGTCACCAAAGTCATTTGGGAGACACACATCCAATTCCTGACAAATTAACTTTTTCTCTCCTAAACCCTAGAAGGGTGATAACATCAATGCTATTCTTAAAAGATGTTGATTCTTTTTAACTTCTTTTGGTTGTAAGAATAAAAGGAAGAATATAGCACAGAGTGAAAAAAAGGAATATAAATAAAGTATGTCCCCTGTATCTGCAGAACCTATATATGCGGTTTCACTTATCCATAGTTTCACTTATTCACTTAGAGCTTTCTGCACAAACTACACCCTATTCTTGGGATCTCGATCATTTATTCCATTGACATAATAAGATTTGCTATTATCCACAGTTTCGTGTATTAATGGGAGTGCAAGAATGTATCCACTGCATATACAGAGGTCATACAGTATAATAAAATGCACGTCATCCTGGTTATAAATAGTCACAGGTACCCCAGTGTTAATCACAGGCCAAATAATCTACACGCCTAATATATATATATATATATATATATATATATATATAGGCTCTTTATGACCACTGGCATGCAGTCTGAACTTTGGTTGTACGTGAAATAATGGGCTGGTAAGGTTCATACTTAAGGTTATCACTTGATATATTGGAGGAGGGTGGATTTTCATAGGCGACTATGCTTCAGATCAGTACCTGGGAGGCATGATGCTTGTAAGAAAAATGTATGCATCCCCACACTGACATGTTCACTTATAAGTGCAGAAACTTAATGAATGAAATGTATTATGATCAACAGATCAGACAAAACAAGTAGAACTGAACAAACAATATCAATAACAAGATCATACAAAAACAAATACCATTAAATGCAGGTAAAGATTCCCTTAAATTTATGATGCCATTTTTTGCTGACAAGCGAGCGCTTCGACACAAAAGCTGGCCACTTGGACGGTTACCATTGAATTCTAATTTGCCAGCAAATATGGGGGAACACATTTTCCCCACTACATTTTTAAACCAAGAGTTTTATGAGCAATATGTAAACATATAGCATCATTTTCATTGGGCACATCACACTAAAGAATGCTACCATTATGATAAACCTTTATGTTGCGCACCCAAAATCTGAAATAAAGTCAACAAAACCAAAACCCTAAGAGATAAATGGAAGGGAAAGGATGTCTCCATCAGTTCCTTTAAGTGGCTTAATTCTCTTGAGATGTCTTCTTAAAGTTTGCCTATCAAGTCCAACTATATCAGTGGTTCCCAGCCTATTTTTGACCAGGGACCACTTCGACCAGGGACCACTTTTACCAGGGATCACTTTGACCAGGGACCACTTTTACCAGGGATCACTTTGACCAGGGACCACTTTTACCAGGGATCACTTTGACCAGGGACCACTTGATCAGGGATCACTTTGACCAGGGACCACTTGACCAGGACCCACTTTGACAAGGGACACCTCTCTAACATTAGTACCAAAAAGATTACGAATCTGTTTTTGGTCAATTTTAGATTCGCTTTGGGGTGCTAATTCAGAAAATTACATGGAATAGACCACATCAGCTCTAGTTTCTGATACAGAACATATGCCATGGTTAGTGACCATGGCCCACTGGTGGTCCGTGGACCACAGGTTAAGAACCACTGATCTATATAGATAGATGGGCTTGATGGGCAGTTATGGAAAGTAAAGATATGGTGAAGCCCAGATGGTGTAGACATTTGAGTTCTGGTCTATGTTGCTAGAGACCAGGATTCGATTCCACACTCAGACATGGAAAGCCATTGAACAAGCCACATGTTTTCTGTCCCAGAAAACGCCATGATAGGTTCAATTTAGGATTGCCACAAATTGAAAAAATGACTTGAAGGCACATAACAGATCTTCCTGTTTTGCAATTTCTTCCACCGTAATTCATGTTGAGGCATAAACATCCTCAAAGCCAGGGATGATGAACATGTGCCAGGCCTCCAAAGATGTTTGGACTGCGATTCCATTCATCTTTCCCTCTTTGGGATGATGGGCAGAGCTGACTAGAGTTATAGTCCAACATCACAGGATGGGAAAAACTGAAGGATGGCCATGGTCCACATGCCCTTGGCAATGAACAGAAACCACAATCACACAACTGCCAAAATAGTGTAATTAAACATCAAATCAAGCTCATGTTTCTTGAGAAAAATATCTGTGTAGATGGTCAGTTCCAGCTGTATGTTTTCCAAATATAAGCTTCTACAGTATTTGACCAAAACATGCCTTTTATGGAAGAGAATGAACCACGGAAGAAATCGATATAGTAAAGGAAACAGCAGCTCCTTACAAAGAGACATTAGTATCAAGTCGGAAGATATATTGATGGAACAATTGAATCCTAATCTCGAACAGTATGGGACACCAAAGCTAAATACGCTAACTGTTTGCTGCTTTAGAATACACTCTTTCATTCCTACGTGATGCTCCCAGAAAAATCAAATATTCACTTTGATTCGCTTTCACAGCAATGAGAGAGGACAAGCAAGAGTGGTGTTTCCACTTCCCCAGCCTTCCAGAGCCTTCATAAATAGAAGATACTTGTTATAAATTTATGTAGAGTTGCAGAAGTTGTGGGGCAGCAAAAACATTTAGACTATCAAACTGGTCTAAGGCAAGGTAAGAAATTGCTTTTGTAAAGGTTAATATCATGTTTGCAGGATTCATAGTAAAAAAAACCTCATCTCCATGAGAACTACAACTTTGGGCTTTGTGTGGATAACTGAAACCACAGATAATAGAGAATCCTATTGAAATGAAATGTG